TTAGTCATTGAGCCCTGCTTCTATTCTTGGAAACTCTCTTACCATTGTTCTTCAGGTTCCTGGATTGACCTTCTATAACAGTAACAGCAAACCTTTTAGCGCTTTCAGTGATATAAACAACCCACTGTGGCATGTGTGCCATAGGTTCACCACTGCTGTTCTGAGAGATCCTCCTCGGCCATTTGAAGCTTGCATCAAATAACAACATTCTCTATCAGTCTAGGTCTGTGAGTATATAAGGCAGTGGTAATTTCTCAAAAATCAAGTAGTCTTCTTACCTATGTGATCCCAGAGAATTCCATATACCAGTAACTATATCCTGGGTCCTTTTTAAGACATATTTCTTTATTGTCTTGCTTCCTTCCTCTCTTTCTGGATTTAAAAGAATTTCTTTGGGAAATATATAACCTTAATCTGAATTTGATTCTCAATCACTTTAAAAAGTTTTAACAGTATGATGCCTATAGTTGGTCCTAAGGCTGGGTATTATTCTGCATTCATATTCAAAGGCTTTCAGTTTTATCTCTTGCTCTTTGGACTAGTATGACAAAATGTCGTAGTATAACAAAATGTGGCTTAAACACAACAGGAATTCATTGCTTACTGTTCTGGAGTCGAGGAAGTCCAAGATAAAGTTACCAGTAGATTGGGTATCTAATGAGGCCCCACTTCCTGGTTTGTGTGTGACTGTCTTTTCACTGTATCCTTACATGGCAGACAGAGTAGGAGACTTTCTTGGACCTCTTTTATAAAAACACTAATCACTTCCTAGTAGTATCATCTGGCAGGATTAGGATTTCAACAGGGTTAGGGGGGAAATGCTCAGCCATATTGGGTTTAAAAACATTTCTTACTTTTTCAAGGCCCAGAATTTCTTTTTTTAAAACATTTATTTTTTTACTCTAGAATAAGGAAAAACAGCAGATGATTACATACCTGGAAAAATTTTGATTTTACAGAATTTTTAATAATTATGCCTAATGTGGAGGGCCGAGAATTTCTAGACTCTATTATCTTTTATTTTTATTTGCAACCTGACCCATTTCTTTCCTGAGCTCATCTCTTATTTAAAATACATTATTAGATACACCCTATACCAGCTAACACACACACTACTGATGTTTTGTTTTGGAACATCATCTTCTAGACCTACAGATTTATTATGTTTATGCTTTACCTCCCAAATAATCTCAGGTAACAGTTTTTCTAAATGCCTTTGACATTTCAAAATGAGGATCCTCATTTTTGTCACTTTCAGTGGCCATTTTTATGTTATGACTCTTAAGCCAGGACTTCGTATTTTTGGTTTTTGCTGGAAACCTACTTCTGTTACAAATACACACACATTAGTGGTAAAAGCTCCCCTAAGCTCCCTATAACAATCCTAGGTTTATTCCTTGTTCTTGCTGTGTAGCCAGGTTTGTTGTTAAGAGGCTCTGTCCTACATGATCACTCAGGGACCCAGCCTCTACTCCATCATCTATCATCTGCCTCATTATAACCACCCCAGAAACTATGGCTTCAGACAACAGTGATGATACTTCTTAGGATTCTGAGAGCTGAGTGACTTCTGTAGAGGGAGGCTGGGATCACCCACACAGCTGCCTGCAGCAGGCCAGCTGGCTAAGGGATGGGTTCAGCTGGGAAGTCCATCGTGGTGCTCGTCACATGGTGCTCCTCTTCTAGGAGACTAGGCCAGGATCCCTCACATCACAGCAAAAGGAAAGGCCCAGTAAGCAAACTTTTTTCAAGCTTCTTATTTGCTGACATCATGTGAGCTGAAGAAAGTCACATAACTGATTTCAGTGTCTGTATAGGAAGGGGCTGCATGCTGGGCGTCGTGGCACACGCCTGTAATCCCAGCACTCAGGAGGCTGAGGCAGGAGGATTGCTGTGAGTTCAAGACCAGCCTGGGGCAACAAAGTGAGTTCTAGGTCAGTCTCAACTACATAGTGAGACCCTGTCTCAAAAGGGGGGGGGGCTACACAAAAACATGGATATTGGGATGTACAAATAATCATGTAACAAGCAGTGTATCACAAATATCAGAGAAGCATTCTGTAGACTTTTTCTTTGCAATTTAAATAGTATTTTAGGCTTTATATGAGCATAGCAATGTTCCAGGAAAGCCATATTTTCAGTAACAGCACCAGATTTGGTCCACCACTGGCCTGGACCTGAAAGCCTTTTACCAGCCTCTGCAACAGGAAAGAAAGGTGGCTCTTTCATGCTTTGGAATGGAAGTAACACCTGTCACTTCAACCATTTAGCCACTGGGCAAGACTAGTCACGTGGCCATACCCAGCTACAAAAGGGTAAGAAGTATAATCCTGCTCTACACGAAGGAAAGGGGAGCTGGACAGTGGTGAACACTGGAAGTCTGTGCTACAGGAGCCAGCTTTCAGATGTCCATTTAGATCATCTGCCTTTCTGTACTGAGTACCAGGCACTAGTTCAAGTCCTAAAGACAATGGACATAAAGCTGTTGTATTTGGAACTCATGGAGAGACCAGGATGGCTGGGACCCAAGCAGGAGAACCCTGGTGTACACCTCTTCTCTGGAACTCTTAGCTTTGACTCACTATTTGTGCGCAAGGTTTTTTCACCAGCTGGGAGGTAGGCAATTTTACCTTCTCTGATAGCTAATTCTTTGTGAGTGCTGTTAGGTATTTTTCAAAGAACAGATAGAATGATTGAATGTTAAAACCATCAGAACAAAACAGGTATTTCCTCTACATTTCTGGGGTCCTGTGTATAGGTGTCTAATTTCACTGTCTCCCAGGTACCTAGCTCCCTAATCTCCGCAGCTGCACTATACAGAAGCTTAGAATGGAGCGTTGTAATTTGAGCCTTTGTGAGTTGTTGTACCTGTGAGAATGAACAACGAGAGGCACCATGAGTTAAAACTCTGTTCCTTCTATTCTTGGCATTGAGGCAAAGAGACACCCAGCAAAATCTCTCTCAAGAGTCCAAGTATGGGTCCAGAAGAGGCACCTTAAAGGTTTAGGTTAATTTTCTTGTTTTCAAAAGTCCCTAGGGCATTTAACAAAAACCATCCATTTGTTTTTTATGATCATAGAACATTTAAGTATCCCCATTTCATCATGCCAGAAAGTTACTCTGAGAATGAACAGAAAACTATTTCCTGTGTTATGATCCCCTGTTACCCTCCTTAGAAGAATGCTAGTTCTGTATTTTAGGACTGTGCTAAACCTGCGTTATGTACTGAAGTTATGGTCAGTCCCTAAGAAAAGGTGACATCGATGGGAGCATAGAGCCCTGAAAAGCTTTATGCCAAATGAATAATACCGTTTGTTTTCACCGATCAAAAAAGTAATAAGCCAAGGGGTGGCCTTTATAAATGAGAATATTTCTCAAAGAATCTTCACTCTGTTTTATTAGATTTGTGAGCTGTGCCATTGTAATTCCAAATTTTATCATAGTCAAATTCATGATACAGAATCTTTTCAAACATATTTTTGCAAAACAATCCGTTTGAGAGATGTGTCCATAAAGAATACACATACAGTGAATTGATGCATTCTTGCTCTCAAGAATTTCATAATCTAGTGATTGAGTCAAGTCTGTCTATAAACAGCCAAGTAATATGCAAACAGTAAAATTGGTGAAATTTGTAATGTATGATTTGTGTGCTTTTAGAATATAGGAGTAGGTGTCAAACCAAAGAAGGGAATAGAAAGACTAAAGAATATCTTCATGGAAGAAGGTATCCTTTAATCTGTATGTGAAAGAAACACAGGGTTTTGAAAGGCCTTTTGAGGAGAAGAAAGTGTATTCTAGGCACAGAAAGTGGTGAGAGACAGGCAAGAGCCTAGGCTAGAACAGTAGGCAGACAGAGCTTGGATGATCTGGTCACAGCTGAGCTGCAGGGGGGCATAGAAAGAGGAGACAGAGATGACATCCGTGTTCCCTGGATGCTAAAGATGGACAGAATTTCTGAGGGAGGAACCACTGCACAGAAAAGAAGCCCAGCGACCTCCAAATTGCTTCCACACATGATTCTGTGACTCTCTTCCTGTGGGTCTGCTTAGACTCTGGTAACTCTGTGGTCAGAGTTAGAATGCCTGAATTACTTATCAAGCAAGTACCTAGTTTTATTACTTTGTTCAGGAGTTGTCAGTCTTCTTTATTTGCTATCCTAACAATAAGGGTTTTGACTTGGACTGCATTGATATTGCAAATCATCAGAATTAAAATTCCCAGGCACAAGGAGGTTCTTGCCCCGCCCTCAGGTAATCCTGGCTGTGAACATCATGTTCTTGAAATTGTTTTTCACGTAGTTCTGCTCTGTTTTCAAGTATTTATCCATTTAAGCAACATTGGTATTTAATGCTGAAAGGACATCTGTTCTGCTGGACTGGCACCTGGCTTCCGAGATTGAACTTTTTTTTTTTAGGTTGGTCGACCTTCATATGGTAGAAAAATTAGTCTTGACTCTAAGTAAATTACTTTATCTAAAATTCTTCCTACATGTTATGTATGAAACCTTGGACTTTATGACATGTATTATTGGTGTATTTAGGGGTATGTGTTTTTGTGGCCAGCATGGAAGGTCACCCCTATAGTAATAAGTCAGTACTCAAAAGCCTGAAAACTTTTCACACCTTGCATTTCAAGTCCTGAGTTTTAGCATTTTTTCCACAGAGATTCATATGTGTACATAAGGCTGGCCCCATGGCTGGGCTCCAGCTCATGCAGAATTATTTGCCAATTCCAAAGAAGCAGAGAATGAAGACACTCATGCCCCGTCATCCATCATTTTTGTCCTGTGAATCTTACAGCTGGATATTGAAAAATCTGGATTTGATTTTTTTCTTCTTTTCATTCCAAGTCAACTAAGTAACCTGTACACTTAGATATAAAGAAATATAACCAGGAAGTGTTTGTGGTATTGAATCAGAACATGAGACATTTGAAGTCAGCCATTTCAGTAGTGTTCCTGTTTCTTTTGAATAAGATTCTGAACATTCTCTTTCCAGGTTGTGTTCCTTACTGGCTTTGGCTATGTATATGTGGACATTGTCCATCAATGTGGCACAGTACTCATCACTGTGGCCCCCGAAGGGAAAGCAGGGCCTATTTTAACCCATACTACCAGGTAGGTATAATTATTTTCCCAGTAATCGTACAGTAAGCTTTCCCATTATGAAGTTGTAAACCAATTATTTACCATTCCTTGTCATTCTCCTATAAATACTAAAGCTTTTGGTCGATCACTGTATAATCTATAATTGTGCATTATCTTTCCTGAGTCTCCCTTCCAATTCCTCTATGATATTTAACAAACTACCTTACAAGAAAAGATATGTATCTGGGGCTGGTGATTTAGTTCAGTTCTGCCACCTGCCTTGCAAGTGCAAGATCCTAAGTTGGATCCCTGGTACAAACAAAAAAATGCAATCTAGATATGAGTCTTAGAACCATACCCTTATTTCTATATCCCTATGGAAACTTAGTAATTAGACTTAGCAATTAGAGCTATACCAAATGTAAATATACCTATTAGAGCCACATTTTCCCCATTTGACCCAAGAAGTTGCTGTCAGATTTTAAAAAGCATGAACCAGGCAAAGAATTAATATCCTTAATTTAAAAGAACTAATATTGCTCAATAGAAATAATATAATGGTATCTGTCCCTTCCTTCCGAAAACAAGGGAAAAGATATGAGTAGAAAATTCTAAAAGAGAAAATATAAATAATCAAAGAGATACAAACTTGAATAAGATATCAAACTAACAATGATGTTCTATATACAGTCCTGGTGGAAGTACGAATTGGTGCCATTTTAAAGTTAAGAGAACTTTAAATCTCTTTGGCTTGGAAATTTCACTTTTAAGTGTTTTAAGAGTTTAAGAGTTAAGGGAATAATGTAAGAAGTGGGCAAAGATATAGAGTACACTGAAGTTTATTCCACTGTTGATTATAACAGCAAAATTTCAGAGTATACATGGTCATCACGTGTATAAATGTGTCATAAATGCTACATCACAAAAAATAGATGTTGCAGAATTTTAATGAAGGAGAAAAATGCATATTATATAAAGTAAAGCAAGCAAAATATTGAATAGGTAAATATACCGGTTATATGCCATCTAGACATACAGAAACGCAAATACATATATATGAATATATTTACATATAACAAAGATATGTAAAATTCTTAGCAATAAGACTGACAAAAGGCTGAAAGGAAATAACTAATACTGAAAGGAAAAGAAATAATCAAATTGTTAATAGCAGAGCTGCAAGTGTTTATTTAATTGTTTCTGTATTTTAATTTTCTTTTATAACATTCATTTTGTGGTCATAAAAATTAATTTAAAACATAAAGTAATAATAATGCTAACTTTCATGCATTTGTCTTAAGCCATCTTTAAAAATGTTCCTTGCTTCTCATGTATGGCTAAGAACTCATTAGTTTGGATCTGGACAATTTGAACTGTAGTATTTCAAACAATTTTAGATAGAATGTTTTCTTTGCTCATAAGTGTTTTTTTTTGTTTGTTTTTTTTTAATTGCTGGGAATATGGCTCAGTGGTTCCGGCACCTGCTTTGCAGGCACCAAAAAAAAAAAAAAATCCTAGTATAACAAAATTAAAGACCAAATTTTAAATTGTATAGCACAAAATTTCAAGCCTACCCAACAAGTTTAGAAGCGTTTAAATCTTAATGACAATAGACACAACACATGGGAGGTACAATAAGAGCAGTTTGGGTACTTGATTGTACTTCCTTGATTCATTTATTTAGCAAATGTTTTTCAAGTCCTTACTGACACCAGGAGCTGTTCTAAGAATGGAGATGTATCCATGAATAAAAACATCAGAACCCAAGCCCTTGAGATTACTTTCTCATAGACATGGAATCAGAATGAGGGTGCACCAGAGAATAAACACAGTTAAAAAGGAAGCACTAGGTACAGTAAAAGGTCAGCATTCTACAGGGATAAAAACAGCTCAGTGAGGAGGGCCAAGAGTGACAAAGCCTAGGGACAGGGAAAGTAGTTTTAAGGGAAACTTTCCAAAAATGCTGCCATCTGAATAGAGACTTGAAAGCAGCAAGGTAATTCTGAATGTGGTCTTCTGAGAAACACACTTCCAGACCACAGGCCTAGCTAGCCCAAGGCCAAGAGCAGCGTTCCTGGCACAGTGGCATCCAGAGCAAGGTAAGGTGGAGTGTATGGGTGAAGTGGAGTGGTGTGGGTGAAGGTAAGAATACTGGTGGGTGAGGCCAGAGATCTACAGGCAGAAAGGAGGGAGACACATAGTGTGGGGCCTTGGTGGGCCATTGAAAGAGTTTAGTTTAATTCTAACTGAAATGAGGAAGTCATTGGAGCATTTTAAGCAGAGAAGTTCCATGTGTCTGTGTTATGTAGACTGGAGAAGTAAAGGTTGAGGCAAGTAGGAAGATTATTAGAGAAGACTAGATTATTAGTTATTCACTGGCTTAGACCACTGTGACCTCAGTGGAAGTGATAATATAGTCATATCCTGGATATAGTGGGCTTTCCCAGATACATTGGATAAGACTTTAAGAGTCATCAGGGGTGACCCCCCAAATTTTTGGTCTGGGCCATGCATGCCTGTAATCACAGCACCCAGTAGATGGAGGCAGAAGGATCACAATGAGTTTGAAACCAGCTTGGCTACATAGTGAGTTCAAGGACATCCTAAACTACATAGTAAGACCCTGTCTCAAAAAAATAAACCAAAAAAATGTCTTCCTTTTCTTTCTTCCTTTTTTTTTTTCCTCCTTTTGGTCTGAGCCACTGGTAGGATATGGTCGCCATTAACTGAGATGGGAAGGACTGTGTGGGTTAGTGGGTAGGATCAGAGGTTGGAGTACAGCCATGGTGAGCCGAGATGTCTTTCAGACATGTTAGCGACCCTATGGCCAGGGAGTTCACTACAACAGGTTGAAATTCAGAGGGCGTTCTGGGCATCAGTGCGTGGATGGTATTTCAAGCCATTAGCCTGGCTGACACCCCCAAGAAGTCCAGTGGAGATGGTGAAAAGATCTCCAAGGCTGAGCCATGCCACTGTCAGTTTCAGGGTTCTGGGAGAGAAGGGATTCACATCAGTGACTGATAAGTGATCAGAGAGAGAGAAGATCTGACAGCAGACAGGTGAAGAAAGTGCATCTAGGAGGAGGGAGTTGCTAACAATACCAAATGCTATCAGTGACTTGAACAAAACCCTGAAAGTCCATCTTTTACTTTAGCCAAATGGAAGTCACTGGTGACCTTGATGAGAGTTGTCTAACCAAACTGGTGAGGGGCCCAAGGCCTGCATGTAGCAAGCTTTGGAGAAAAAGGAGGGAGAGGAATAGGAAAAGATGTGTGCAGGAAGCACTTTGGAGTTTTTATATAAAAGAATCAAAATGAATGGTGACTACAGAAGAAAGTGGAGTTATAAGAGGAGTTTTCTAGGATAAGAGAAATCAGCATGTTCACAAGCTGCTAGTAATGAAGAAAATGATGGTGTAGGACAGGAGTGAGTCACTGGAGTGATGGCCCAGTGCAGGTGAGCGCAAAGTGCTGGAGGGCACTTTGGAGAGTCCCTGAGGAAGAGCACAGGGGCTCCGCTCTAGAAAGGGGCCAGGAGCCAGGCATGCTAGTGGGGTGCAGTGATAGTGGGGTTTGTGCTGACCTCTCCCGCTTGCCTATTTCAACTTAAATCTTAGTTATTTTATTTATCTTTCTGCCTTGCAGTCATCATGACAAAGAATTAGTGTACAAAAACGAGAGGGATTTGTGAGTAAAAGCCTGTTGTTGATAAAGGAAATACTACAGAAATATGACAAGAACTTTTAATAGTCCCATTGGGAACATTTCCCAATACTGTTGCAGTGTGGCTGGCTCTGTCCCGACACAAGTTGAGTCCTCATTTGTCTTGTATGAGAATCTGATATCCCGTCAGGTGTCTAATAAGGTACTGTCATTAGAAATGAAAGAAGAAAAACAGGAAAGTGGGAGAAACTAATGTTCTCTTCCCTGTCTCCTCTAGAACTCTGGAGAAGATGGTTACCTTTAAAGTATTCATCACTCAGTTGAGTGTGGCAGTGTCCGACGACCTCACCGACCACAGAGCATCATCTGAACTTCTGAGGCTCACTCTGGATGATGTTTTTCTCCACATGGCACCTGTGGCTGGCGCTCTCCCCGGAGAAGAAGAGCCCGCTGCAGCACTGTTCCATCTTTACTCTATGGAGATCTGCTGTGGGGACCTACAGTTGGATAACCAGCTTTATAACAAGTCCAATTTCCACTTTGCTGTCTTGATCTGTCAGGAAGAAAAAGCAGAGCCTACTCAGTGTCCCAGAGTGTCAGATCTCCTTGTCTCCAGCAGAGACTTAGAGGAATACAAGGAGAATTGCTTTATCAAACTTTGCATCACCTTAACTGAGGGCAAGAGCTTCCTACTCAGTGTCAGCGAGCTCAGTTTTGAGCTGAAACCTGCCCGGTTATACGTGGAAGACACATTTGTGTACTACATCAAAACTGTGTTTGACACCTACCTTCCTCACAGCAATCCAGCCAGTCACCCCTCACAGCTCTGTGGAGGTGCCCGGGTCCTGCCCCTGCAGGTGAGACAGCACGCCAGGGCCTTGGTGAACCCGGTGAAGTTACGGAAACTGGTGATACAGCCAGTGAACCTGCTCGTCACCATCCACGCTTCCCTCAAGCTGTACATAGCCTCGGATCACACTCCTCTCTCCTTCTCCGTGTTTGAGAGAGGCCCCATCTTCACCACCGCGAGGCAGCTCGTGCACGCCCTGGCCATGCACTACGCTGCAGGAGCTCTTTTTAGAGCAGGTGAGGACAGAAGCTGAGAGTCTGTGGTGAGCTAAAGCCTGAGCAAAATACCATGCTTTGGGTAATGCCTTATCTGTGACAAGGCATAAGGAATCAGTTGGTGGACAGAGACACACATGGGCTTCACAGTTAAGCAAAACTGGATCTAAATGTAAACTCTGCCACTGTTTGATATAGGGCCTCGAGCAAGTTATAGAAGCCCCTGATTTTCAGTGTCCTGTCTAGAAAGTGGGTTTTATGATTTTTGAGAGAATCATATGTCAAGTATCCAGCGTTTTGCTTGGCACTTAATGAATATTCAAGCAATGGTAGCTGTCATATTTTAGCTGTTAATATAACTTAGAATTTAATTCAGTTTAGCAAACATTTTTAGCACCTTGCAGGCATAAACTTAGCACACTAGTGCAACCAGGAAAACTAGCCCAGGTCTTCAGCTCCAGTGCCTAAAAGAAATGCAGTTCAGAGGCACAAGTTTTCTTCATTGCTGTTTATGAATAGCTGTAGGTGAGAAATTCAGAGGATTTGTGTGCTCCTAAAATGCACACAGAGCCCTCTGCATATACTGAGCAGCACCACTGTCCAGACAGACCTTAAAGAAAAGACTGTTGCTGTCTCAGCCTCTCTACAGAGCTGAGCCCAGAGAGGAGAAAAGACCCTGCTCATCCTTCCCACCCTTTCTGCCAGGTAGGTGGCCTCCTGCAGGCCGAGGGCTGCTGTTTCTCAGGGCTCAGTGGGAGAGGTAAGGCTTCCCTTTCCACTCTGGCTGGAAATCTGCAAAGGACAATTTAATAAGTGTACAAAACCTTATATGGGGAGTAATCTGTGTTAAGGATTGATTGTTAGGGACCATGTGGTCTCCGAGTACAGCAATCAGCATCAAAGTGTGTGTTCCTGGGCCAAGTTCACTCTAAAACAGTTTTACTTTACTATTCTGGCCTTTGTTGTCCCAAAAATTCAAGCAGACACCACCACCCAGAGCTGTTGGTCTCATCAGCACCCTCCAGGAAAGAACGTGGAAATGTGAGTTTCTGAATCTGACAAGGGTGAGATCTCTGTTCTGCTCTCTTTGTGATCTTGCACTTGGTGAATGAATGCATTCCCATTAATGATTCAGACTATAGCATGAAAAAAAAAAGGATCATGTTATCATTGGTAAGGCACCAGTAGCTGCCATTTTGGGAAGATTACATTCTTCCATAATTAAATTCATAGGGTTAATAGGGCTATCCAGACTCTTACATAAAATAAAATGACAGGATCAGAGAGGGCTCTGCCAGTCCTGTTTTGATAGCTTACCTGACAATGAAGAAAATGCTTCCCTCTTACAAAGAAGTCATTTAAAAATAAGTAGTTAACATTTCAAATTTAATAGATGGGTATATTTACAAACCATTCTAGAAATGTACCCTTTTAGGTAATTTTACTTTTAACATGAGAAGCAGACATGTAGGTTACTGTGCTCTGATCTGAGGCCAGGGGAGGAATAAGGTTCTGTCCGGTCACTGCATGGTGCCAAGGTGCTGGAAGCACCCAGCTGTGTGCTGAGCTCGAAGAGAAACTCCACCTGTGGCCCCAAGTGACCACGGCCCCTGCAGCCTGTGTGCTAAAAGTGATCTCTTTGTTTTGTGTTTTTAATGAGCTTTCACAAGAACATTCTGTTTGGATTTTTAGTAATTCATCTAAAAATCCTCTTGGTGTCCCAACCTCACTATATACAAAGACACGAAATTCTAGCAGAGAGCCAAGTTTTTAGAGCTTTTTGGAAACTCTGTCCCTAAAAAATCTGCGATTGTCCCTAGGGTGATCCTTACTTCCCCATTAAAGCGCCTGTCTTGAGCTAAAAAAAAAAAAAAAAAATCTGTGGTCGATCTGAAGACCTTACTGAAAGAAAGTAGCTGTTGAAGGAATGGGAAATGGAAAGACAGCCTGAGGAGAGAAGTCTTAAGCGAATAGAGCAGCATTCTTACAGAGGGGAGCGCTGCCTGGGGCTGAGGGGTTGGCACTGGACTGAAGGAGAAGTGCCTGACTGCAGTGGTCCTAATCACCTGACCGCATTTCCAGAAAGTCAGTAGAGTCCTTTGAAGAGGTTTATAGACTAGTTAACGATAACTAGAAATGAATATGGGTTTGAGGATTTCCTGAGGTCCCTATCTACCCGAAAATTTCAATATTGTGGAAAGTCAAACCGGCCCTTTGTCGGCAAACTTTCCTAACACCTGAACCCAAGAGATACACTCTATGTATCTCTAGGACCCGCGTCTGCAGGTTCAACCAACTGCACATCAGAAGTGTTTGAAAAAAGAATTGTGTCCTGATTGAACATGTACAGACATTTTCTTATCACCATTCCCTTGAAAACTACAATGTAAAACTAATGACACGGCATTGGCACTGTGTTAGGCATCGTAAGTGATCTAGAGGTGATTGAAAGTATAGGGAGGGTATGTGCAGGTTGTACACTACATTGTTTTATATGAAGGACTTGAGCATCCTCAGACATTGGTAGGTGGGGGAGTCCTGGATCCAATCCTCCCCAGATGCAGAGGGGTGACTGTTTGCTTGTGGAGGAAAATAAAGAAGGTTTTCTGCCCTTTTCTGGCCAGTTCAAATGCTACTGGAATGCAGCTCTGGTCCACAGATAGCCCTCCCATCCACCAGTGGCTGCAGGTATCAGAAGTCATAACCCAGAGGATCCCAACACAGCCTCCATCTGGGTATCAGCTGGAGTCCTGCTGCCCTGCCCTGGAATTTCATTGAGAGGGCTTTGCTTGGCAAGAGTGACTCTTTTCCTTTAAATGTGCAGTCAGAAAGAAGGTTCTTTAGGAGAGGTTCTTCAGGTGGAACCTCACATTGATTCCAGGCTAAGGGGAATCTGTTTTTCTTTACCTCCAGAAAAGGGAGAAAATTCTGCATTCTCCCACAGCACCCTGCCTGCTCCTTGCAACCTGGACTTATGGAAGGGCAGGGTAGGCTTGGAATGAATTAGGCCTCCCTGGGTTGGACAGCCAGCCTCCATGAGCACTCAGGAGATTGTGGGCAGAGAGGAGTGTCGTGCTGGCTTCACCTCTGCCCAGAGCAGCCCGTGTCCAGCTGGCCACTCAGTCACGGCTAAACTGAAGGAGATGATGACACTGTCATCACAGTTGCAATGAGGACTAAATGAGTAATGCGCGGCCCCATTTGGGTTCTTCATATTCTGGAAATTACTCCACCTCTGACCTAAAGCCTACTCTAACTGCTCCTCATGTTCTGGAGAAGGGAAATGGGCTCAAAATCCATGAAAGTCCTTCTGTGCATGGGCTGGGGCTGAGGACCCTTCAGGACCCTGGCCTAGCTCCTGCACTAGTGCCTTCCAAATCTCTCAGGTCTTCCCGGCCTGAGAATCTCTGTCACAGGACTGTCCTCCAGAAGCCAGCTGCTGAGAGATGGAGGCTCCCACACAGGACTTGTCCCCATGGCCTTAGCACTAAAGGGCCCCAACATAGGGCTGGGGAGGTCAGTGGATTCCCGGAGGAGGTTGCCTTTTCAGATTCTTCCTTTCTTTGGCCCTTAGCCCCTGCCTGCCCTGCAGTCCCTGGGCTCCCAGCCTGCAGGAGGGGCCGGCAGCCTCATTCCCATGAGGCACATACTGTAATCAAGCCTCCAAGCAGGCGGCTCCTGGCAAGCACAAGCTTAACTAGGAAACCAGATCCACAGCTGCCCCCCGGGACATGGCAGGGAACACTCCCCTCACACTAACCCAATCAGTGTGTCCCTGTCACTGGTGTTTACACAACCAAAGCTGGGGCTGAGGGAGAGTCATTTGTCTGGCTCTAGCTCTGCTCCAAAGGAAAGCACTCAACTTGGTCGAATTGGGAAAGATTAAAAATAACTCCTCTATGCTTGTCAGAAGTTTGCATCCCCCTTGCAGCACTCCATTTAGCATCTGGCCTCTCCCCAGGTCATACAGCTTCTCCTGCTGCTGCCCACTGCCCCAGCCTGCCCATGAGCACCTGCCCAGGGCTGGAGGAAGTGTCCCCAGCACATGGGTCTCTGCTGCCACAGTGCACGAGGCTTGGCAAGGAAGTCATATTAAAGCCATTTGTGAGGCTGCCAGAGGATTGCTTTGATTTATAATGTATGAAAGTTCACTATTTATGAATTCACAGTGAATGAGTTACTTCCCGTATTTTACTCTGAAGAAGCTTATTACATTCTCAATTCTACTGTGCAAAATGAATTGCAGGGAAACTGGGCCGCTTGTTACAACTGGTGAAAGTACACACACCCGGCTTCCGTAATTCTCACTCTGGTCCGTTGCAGGCTGGGTGGTTGGATCCCTGGAGATCCTTGGCAGTCCCGCAAGTCTGGTGCGAAGCGTGGGGACCGGCATTGCCGACTTCTTCAGGTTGCCCTATGAGGGGCTTACCCGGGGCCCTGGCGCCTTCGTGAGCGGTGTTTCCCGAGGGACGACATCCTTTGTGAAGCACATTTCCAAAGGTAGCTATGCTGTTCCTTGTGCTAATGCCTCTTCCCATTCCTTGCCTGTTGTACTTTTTCTCTGTAAAAAAGTTTTGAAGATTTGAATGCATCCACATTGCCTCTAGCTTTGTTTGGCTTGTTAGCTTGCAGTGAAATATTGGTTTGGAACAAAGCACATATATAATGTCTTATGTTTTAAACAGATCACTGGTTACTGGTAGTGTGTGAAAATGTTTCAGAAACTTCAGAATTTTAAAACTCCCTTTGGGAAAACAAAGATTGGCTCAACTGTTATTCCATGTGATAAATATAGAAATATTAAAGGTGTTCAGGATTTCTGCTAAACATCAGAAATCCTACACTGTGTTGCTTCATTATATTTTTTTAATGTAGATACAGTTGTCATAACTTTCTTAAAGATTTGGATACGTTTTGACATGAAAACTGATTTAAAGGTGAACAGGCCAACTTTTCTCTAAGCATGCTGCGTAAACAGTGCCATCTTGTGGTCCAGATGCATCACGGAGCACCAAGGCCAAACTGCTCCCACCAGAATGTTTTTGTTTCATCCGAGAGCTTGGTTGATATTTTGGTCAGGTTGGCAGTGACTCAGGAACTAACGAGGGCCATCTGAGTCCCTTTTCTTCTCAGCAGGAGGCAGGGAAAGCAAGGCAAAGACCCCCCCTTCCCCATAAAAGGCATTTACTGTAGACAATACTACACTCCTTTTGAAGAGGTAAATTGTGGAAGTCTCTAGAAGGCCTCAAAAGAAAAGAAGACTTGCACTTGAAATATGAGACTCCATGATCCATTGAGAGCAGAGGGAGCGCCAGGGTTGGGGCTGTTAAGAGCAGAAAGAGCAATCAAAATAAATTCCAAGGACAATGAGAAGGACATTCATGGGGGCCTGGGAGCCAGGCTCCGCCTCACCAGATGAGTCCCTAGCGGGCTTCTCACTCTTGACACTGGAATCTCTGTGGTTCTGTTATTTTTATTCTAAAATACAACAACCAACACCTGCTCAGCAGTCATTTTAGCATTCTGAGTCATTGAGGGTGTTTGACACTGGTTCTCTCCTCTTGGGTATGTGTGTGCTGTTCTTTTCAGAGCACTGGAAAAAGGGGTCATCTACCGTTTCTCCTCCAGACTAGACCTCTGATCACAGAGGAGCTTGTCAGCTTCAGGACATGCCCACCACCGTTTTCCACTTTTGTTTATTGAGATAAATGTGGACCTGCTGGAGGGCTGGGACCGCTTTGAGCAGGTGGCTGAATTTGCTTTCTTCTGAAACCCAGACAGAAATGTGGCCTTTCTCCTTTTTGTTGTCCTTACTTCTTTTCAGTTAACATCCTGAATATGAAAATTGACATAATTATTTCCTCAGAACGTCAAATGATGCAGTTTAGTGTCTCCCTTTATTAAATTGAATTAATAAGATAAATGTTATTCCTAAAGTGGAAACATTTCCTTATAATCTATCAAATCTATCTAAAATCTATCAGCAACATAAACTTTAAAAGCAGCCCGGGCAAATTTTAGCCTTCAAAGCTGGGCCTCCGTGAGGACTTCACCACTGTTTACCGAGGTCTTGACAATCAAACAATAGGAAGGCTGGGAAACTAGGTCTCTGCCTGGCCGCAGAGATTCTTACTTTCTGCTCTTGAGTACCATCACCCTCACGAGCAGATGTTAACCTTTACTTCATTTTCTTGAGACCGTCCCTCGCCACTGGCCATGCCTGAAAAGGACGTGGGTGCTGTTCCTTCTCACTCCCACCCCCACCAGCCCTGCTGGCCACGGCTCTGGGACCCAACCGTGCATGTGCCCTTCTGTCCTCAGGTACCCTCACGTCCGTCACCAACCTGGCCACCAGCCTGGCCCGGAACATGGACCGGCTCTCGCTGGATGAAGAGCACTACAACCGCCAGGAGGAGTGGCGGCGGCAGCTGCCCGAGAGCCTAGGCGAGGGATTGCGCCAGGGCCTGTCCCAGCTGGGCATCAGCCTGCTCGGTAAGGGGCTGCGGCCCTTGGGTGTCTCACAGGGCTCCTCGGGCCTGCTGTGGGCCCTCCCCGCACCTTCGCCTTTGCCTTCTCCCTGGAGATGGCTGTAAAGTTCACCTCCTTTCTGTGGACAAAGGAGATTCAGAGAGGGTAAGGTGCTCACCTTTTGCCTGCAGTGCATCCACAGGGCCCTGGGACAGGACCCCATCTCCCATGGCCACCGTGCGGCCGTGACAGGTCATCCTGCAGGAGCAGGCTGGCCAGTACAGACACCGTGCTCTGCCTTCCTCTGCCTCTAGTAGGAAACGGAGCGTGCACCTCAGCATAATGGTGTCCACACGGGGCCAGCAGCATTCGGCTGTTTGCTTTTGGAGATGAGTGACAGGGAGCCCTCCTGTAGCCCTTGCTCCTGCTCCCTAAGTCCTACAGCACTTGAGTGACGCGTGTGTCATGTAAACCTCAGTGAGGAGCCTGCTTCTCCTTTCATGTATTTTTGTATTTATTTTGAGATCAGCCTGACTCAGAGTAATTATTTTTTGTTCAGCAGCTGGATGGTGTGGTTAGAGGTGAAGATTACTATGGATATTTCAAAATATTACAAATATTTGAAAATACAATGCTCTGGAAAAGTCTACTTTAAAAGCCTCAGAGCTCAAAGTATAGTGCAGGATTTCCAGGGTAATTTTGTTTATTTGCTTACAAAGAAATTTGAAACTGTACTGCTTGGCAACCTGCCTTCCACGCGTCTGAGGGAGTATGTGCCTCAAAGAGATCAAAGTGACCGAAGCAGTGCAGAGCACAGGGAAGAAAGGATGAGCTTAAATGTCTTCATTCTCTCTGTCTTCCGTTCTCTGCAGCGGCTCAGCCTGCAGCACAGCCAGCTACGGCTGCGGGTGGAAGCAGTAAAACATTATAGGAGCAGGTGAAGTCACTAGAAGTTATTGAAGGACTAACAGTCAGGGGTACGGTGCACTGTCATTTGATAATTCGTGGAGACAGGGGAGCTAGTGGCCTTCAGGTGGAGGGGGTCCAATGTCCCTCAGGATCCCGGGCCCCAGCCTGGCCTTCATGGCTTTGAGCATGTTCTTCCTAGACCTTGGGTTTCTGCTGTGTAAACTGGAGCTGGTAATAACATTATTAGAAATAATAAGGGGTGTTGGGCAGACAGAACCTGTCATATTATATCGTGGCAACAAAAGAACTGTAAGGGATGTGTGATTTCACAGAATGTCCTAGCAAAGAGAGGCACTTGAGGAATGGCAGGTACACTCTTGCTTTAGTTAAGTCCAATGAATTAAGTTGCTATACCCAAAGTACCAGTGAGGTTATCTTGGGACCCTCAAGATCATCATTGTGGGACTTTAGGGCAGTTTTATTTAAGAATTGTAGGCTTACACGCCCTCTACTCTTGGCATGAGGCTTCCTTCCCCCACCCAGGCTGTTCCTAGAAGTCACAGTGAAAAGGTACCTGAGCAACAGGCACGTGTCTGTCTTCACTCTCATTCTGACTCCCTTCTAGCCCAAGGATTCTGTTCCCTTACTACCCAGTGGGACCCCCAGGCACTGCTCAGCTTCTGCTGACTCAGAGTCACCTGCTGGTAGGGATCAGATGGGTGAGGAGCCCCAAGTCTGCCCTGCTGAGGTCACCCTGAAGCCAGGTGTCTACTGACAGAGCGCGAAGTCACAAACCTGAGAGCTTCACTGTGGTTGTTGTGTCTCATGTAACTCATCCACACTCTCCACAGAAATGGTGTGGGTCCGTGAGGTTTGGTGCATGTCAGGTCATTTCTAGATTCTGTGGGTTCTGCAGTGATACAAACCCCTCAGTGTGTACAGACACCAGCGACACTGGCCTGTCCGCTCCCTGGGGGCCGGTCCCAGCCTGGCACATACCAGAGCAGCCCAGAGCCACGACGGCCACCTTCACCGGTGCCCAAAGGAACATGTTCTCTAAGAGGTCAAGGCCCTGTCTGTGCCTCACAGAATCTCTGGTTTATCTCAAAATGCCTGGGCCTACAGTGATCAGGTGTGTGACGGAAAGGAGAGGAGGACTAGGAGCAACCAAGTCTCCTCACTTCAAAAGGTATAAATTTGTCACCATGCATTCATCCCTAGAAATGGTGTTTAAAACTGCCAGATGCAGTTGAACTTTATTGAAGTTAGTGATTAAAATATATGATGAATGTTTAACTCCCTTTCCAATGTTCTCCTGTAGAATACATGGCCGTCAGCCCCTTCAGAGCACTCCCCTCGGTTCACACACACCTGTCCCACCAATGTCCATCCCGTCGCTCTTGCCACTCTCTGAAGCAGTCCTGGAAGTCCACTTTTGTGTCTTTACAACATGTGATGAGAAGATTAAACACGGCTGAATAGAGGAGGAGTCATGTGGAGGTCCTCAGGGAAAACCAGCATGTGATGAAAAACGTACTGAATGCTGTTGCCAATGCCATCCCAGGGAGAGACAGGCTCATAAAAGCATCAGGGCGCGTCCTCATCCACCTTATCCACCAGACCTGGTGGCAGGTGACTTCTGGCTCTTCTCCGTGTCAAAATCACCATGAAAGGGAAATGTTTGGAACTGACTCAGGACATCCAGGGAGCCACAACTCTTGCAAGCAAAGACCTTCGCAAAAGAGAACGTTCAGAACTGCTTCAGAAAGTGGCAAGAGCGAAGGGATAAATATGTTAGAAGTGAGAGATTCATGGCTGTGTCTTTTACTGAAATAATTGTTTAATTTAAGCAGTCATAATATCGTTCACATTTTATATAACAGCGTGAACCCCACAGTAAGAAAAATGAAATTATAGTCGTTCATTTTCTTTCTCTATAAGATGGAAACTTTAATAAAAATATACTTGAAGAACATCTTGGGTGACAAAGCACCTTTACGGGTGTCGTCATACTTGACCTTCAGGAACGCAGCTCTTATGAAGCTGAGTGACCGCCCCGTAGGTGGGGAACCTGGGCCTTTCCACCTCGTCACCTACCGAGGGAGGGTTCTAAGCCTGAGAACCATCCAGATCGGGGGAGACTTCACAGTTGCAAGTTCCAGGGTAGAAAGAACACACTGCCTTCAATGTGTCTGAGTTCACTGGGCCTCTCATTTCTGCCTCCCCATCCTGGGATGTTGTGAGCACACTGGCCAAATCCATGTCCTAAAATACCCACACTTGCTTCTCTGCCCTGGCACCTGTGCAGGGAAGGCTGGTCAGCTCAGTGCCACAGTTCTGCTCCATGCACCAGCTCCTCTAGACACCAAGGGCAGGGCAGCTGCCTAAGTGCTGCAGTGTTGCTGGGTCCCCATGACCTACATACTTTGGGGCTGTGTCAGAATCCCAACAAAAGAGGCCTCTCCTTGGTGGTCAGAGGTTGGCCCTCAGGGAGTTACGGGCAGCTATGCCCTCCAAAGGACAGCACTTGCCTGTGGTACCTTGCCACGCAGCCTGCCATCCACAGCAAGGTTTCTGTTAGGTGGGATTTCGGGGTGACAGACCCAAGTGCCTCCGTCTGTTTGCACATATGTTCTGGTTACAAGGCTTGCCCCTGAGCTACAGTGACAACACCCAGTGGATGTCATTTGTGTCTGGAACGGTGCTGCAGCCTGCACCTCTGCTCTCCTAACAGTAGAGGACCCAAAATAAAATTTCACCCCTGGAGATCCCCGCTGCCTGGGTGTCCTGCCTGCTGCCTGCAGCCAATCACAGCAGCGGTGAAGGAGCCCAGCGGAGCCTTTGCTTCTCAGGGGTGCAGAGGCGCCTCCTCCAACACATCAGAGCCCTGTCCATGTGGCCAACGCCCCCACCCCCACCCCATGGCCTGACGCCGGCACAGCCCTGAGATCAGTTCCCACTGCTCAAAGCATCAGAGCAGAGCTGCAATCTATGACGGAATAATTTACCAGCCCTAGGACTTTGCTGGATCCCACCGCATCAGCGAGGGCTCCCACAGCCCTAGGCACGGCTGCTCCCCACTCCTCAGCAGGCTCGCAGGGACCACAGAGCCGCTGCCGGTCTCTCCGGCCTCTCCTCTCCACCTCCTTATCACAGGGAGGGAGACAATTGCACCCATGACCAGGAAGCTGTCGGTGGTGTGCGTGCCGGGCGAGCTTTGCCCCTCCCAGGGTCTGGCTCTGAGCATGGGCAAGTGACCCAGCAGCTCCTCCTCCTCTACCTGGTAGATCTAGCACCATGTCCTGGAGCTAAGGCTTCCTACTTTCCTAGCTGCCCCAGGCACAGTAACTGGAGCCTTTGCTGTGGTGAGCGACTGAGCAGTGGAAGATCGAAGGCACCCACCGTTTGCCCTTAAGTTCCTTGTACAGGTCGGGGCTGCCTAATAAAAGAAGTGGCAGCTTTAAATGAGGTGACTGATCTATTGATGTATTTATAATTATTCATTTTATATAAACATGAAGACCTTTCAGAGAAATCAGATAATGTAAAGAGAAAAGCTTCATTCTTTAATTTGATGCTGCTCACTTTGAACTACTTGCTATGAAATGATGAAGAAAAGACCCAGAGTCCCTGCCTCCATTGCACGCTGGTGTCGCTACTCTGACTCCTCACCTTATAGGTGGGAACCAGAGGAACCGATCCCTTGACCTCTGACAGAGCAAAGGGTCCTCCCAGCCCAGGGCCAGCACTGTCCATTGGGGAGCTGCTGCACGTGACCCTCAGCTCTGGAGAGCCAGGGCAGCCAGGAGCATCTCCCTCGCCTCGGCCCATCATTCTGTAGATGGTTTAGGTGGCATTGCTCTAGACTGGGAATGGAACCCTCACCTTAGCCAAAGCCTGGAGGAATGGACTCCTTCAATATTTCCTTGCCACGTGACCTGAAGGAACAAGCCTTTTGTTTGACTGGGTTTGGTCCGTAGACTATTGCTTGAAATTAGCAGATAATTAACTAAAACGTGGACATCTCAAGAGACTGAATTAGTGCTATGTGGAGTAATGGGATTTGTTAGTACTAAAATTTCTACCAGGGCACTGCATTTTTGTATATTCTACCAAGTCTGAGTTGAAAACAAGGAATTCAGAACCAGTTGTGGTGGCACATGCCTGTGATCCCAGCACTCCGGAAGCTGAGGCAGTAGGATCTCCATGAAAACAAGGAATTCCAAGAGCTATGAAAAAATCTTTACTTCTGAGTTAGGGAACCCACTGCTCCATCATGAAAAAAAGGACTAGCGAGGCCTTTTCTCAGTCTCCTCATTGGCCCTTGAGGTAAAAGGAGCAAAAGGACATATCCAGAGGGGTGACCAGAGAGTCCTTTCATTTGTAACCACCTTCTTTGAGCTCAGGATGAAAAATAATGGCCCCATGGTAAAGCTGGTACAAGAGACCCATGAAACAGGGCTTTTGTAGCTGTTCTGGAGTGAAAAGTAACTGGCCAAACCTCAGTTGAAGTGAACGAGAAGGAAATTTTCTAAAATTGGCAGAGTGTTTTATAAACAGGACAAGTGAAGACGGGCTGATAAAAAAATACAGTAGATGTTTCAATTTAAAAGTTATTACAGTTAAAGACACACTGCTAATTAATCCCCCTCAAAATATTTCCTCTCACTTCGAACACACTTAGCCCATTGTTCTTACCACTTTCTGGCAAGAAGTGGTTCTGGGGGTCTTTATAGGAGGTGTGATCAAAAACAGTGAGTGTTGCCACTGAGTGCCATCCACTGGAAAGATGGGCTCATAAAAACCTGGCGTTGTGCCCTCACCCACCTATTCACCAGACCGGGCACCGTGAGACTTCTGGCTCCTCCCCAAATCAAAATGACTGTAGAAGGTAAACATTTTTAATCCACTCAGGACACTGAGGCAGCCATGACAACACAACTTAAAATCCTGATGAAAAAGGACTTCCAACAAAAATGATGGGCTAAGTGTATCTGAAGTAAGGGGAGTGTTTTGAGGGCATTAATGACAATGTGGCTTTTACTGTAATAAAAATGTGCATTTAAATACTCACATATACTTTGATCCTACAGCATAGCTTAGTGGTTAGGAGCTAGGCTATGAGTCAGGATCAAACTCAGACCCAACCACTTAACAGCTGAAGTAAGGCGGTACCTGACTCCTAGGGTTATGAAGAGTACGTGATCTCATAGGTGAAGCTCTGCCCAGTCTATAGCACTCAAGATAGACTAGTTCTAAGAGAAATGAATACTGTACCAGTTACAACCCTTATGAAATAACTGAATACATTGATCATAATGAATCATTAAATAATTATTACTGTTGAAAGCAAGAATGTCGAAAGGGGCTGCTGCCTTTTTTTTTTCCATTAAGTTTAGTGTTACATTGAAGGTAAACAGTACAGTTGCAGTCATCCTTGGGATCTTGGACCTTTACATGATGTATCTTGGTTCTCGTTTTTCCCCATTCCCCTGCCCTCGCTTCACCCCCTTTACCCCCATTTCCCTTTTTGCACCCCAGTTGACTGGAAGTTTGTTAGGCTGCACCAGCTCTCTCTCCTGAGGCCCTTCCTTCTCCCTCAAAGGTGCTACCTGATTTCTGAGGAAGGGCAAGTGGGTAAAACTGGGGAACAGCCTGATATGTTTAGTTAAACTTCACAAACCTTGAACATTGTGTTTTGATGAATAAATATCTCACATAAGCAACCTTCAGTGTACTCAGCTAGTTGGTAAATAAATGGATACTAAAAAAATTTATAATGAGGGCAGGGATTCATTTTCAACCAAATAAAACTGGGATCCAGATAGGGGTTTCATTTTCTGAGGATGTTAAGCCTCCGTCCTTACCAAGGGCTTTTGTTATTTCAGGTGCGATTGCTGGAATAGTGGATCAGCCAATGCAGAACTTCCAGAAAACATCCGCTTCGCAGGCTTCAGCAGGGTGCAAGGCCAAGGACGTAATCTCGGGCGTGGGGAAAGGACTCATGGGGGTGTTCACAAAGCCCATTGGAGGAGCTGCTGAGCTGGTATCACAGACTGGCTATGGTAAGGAGGTGGGAGATTGGGCCCAGACTTTACCGACTGATTTGCATTATGGTACCAGGGCCCCTTAAGGTAGCCTGGCCTCTCATAAGGGAAAGGGGCGCAAAAAATGGATAAATAGTAGCTGTCTTTCTTCCCTTCCTATGCTTGTTTACACAGTAGAATTTTGCTCCTAGTAAAAAGTAATAAAATGGTAGAAGAAAGAAATCACTTATTTCAGGCTGGGGATTTGGCTCAGTGGTTCTGCCGCCTGCCTCACAAGAGCAAGGACCTGAGTTCGATCCCCGGTATCAAAACAAAAAAGGAAGAAACAAAGAAATCAGTTATTATTTCAATTAGCAATTTTACACCAGAGTCTGTGATTCTGTGTCACAGAAGCTTTTTTACAATATGCTTAATAAAATAGACTTTAAGCAGGGCATGATGGCATGCGCCTGTAACCCCAGCATTCAGGAGGCTGAGGCAGGAGGATCACTGCAAGTTCAAGGCCAGCCTGGGCTACATAATGAGTTCAACAAGCCCTAATTGTCACAGAAGCTTTTTTACAATATGCTTAATAAAATAGACTTTAAGCAGGGCATGATGGCATGCGCCTGTAACCCCAGCATTCAGGAGGCTGAGGCAGGAGGATCACTGCAAGTTCAAGGCCAGCCTGGGCTACATAATGAGTTCAAGGCAAGCCCTAACTACACAGCAAGACCATGTCTCAAAAAATTAAATCAATCAATCAAAATAAAATTAGAAGTTGAAAGAAAAGAATGATTATTTTTTTCTCCATAAAAGGCAAGGCAGGAAGAGCTCTGTAAGCAGCAGTGTGTCTGTGAAGGGGTGAGTGGGGTTTGTGCACAGGTCTTGGGTTTGGGGTGGCTGCAGTCTCCATCCTGCCGTACACAGCCAGGCCGAGTCTTGTGGTCTACAGAAGCAAAGGGCCATGGTCTACAGCTGGAAGCCCTTCCCCAAGCTCACAGTCGGGAGACCTGCGGCTTGTGGCCTCCCTATGCTTAGACGGGGCGCTCCATGTGTAGTGAACAGTGTGAAGGAAGCACCTCCTGCCCGGCTTATCCTCTGCACTCTCGGCAGAGAACATTAGCTCCAGTGGACATGTGGCTGGGATTGTTACTTTCTCCCTAAATTGATGTCATCCTTTTGGCGTGAAGCGGCGCTTACCTCAACCGCAGGAGGACTCACCCACTCGTCAGACGCCAGCAGTCTGTGGGCCCGTCCTGTACCTCAGGACGGCTGGCAGGATGCAGCCAGGGCAGGGCGTGAAAGTTGTGTCTGAAAGTGGGGGAGCGTGAGACTCATGCCCCACTCCCAGCAGCCGTCAGGAGCCTCCTCGGAGAGACCACGCGGGTGGGAGCGACGCCCCTCTTTGCTGCCTCCACTCCCACTCTACTTCTCTCCATCCCGTGAATGACACGCTGGCTCGAAGGGAAACGGACAGTAAGAATTGCTGCAGCTTGTAAGGGAAAAAGTTAAACTCTCCTTATCAAATGCCTGGGTCTTACACGTGAGTCAAACCACTGTTGCCTTTGCCACAGACTCCAGTGAGGTAAAGCCAACTCATCCTTCATAAATCCTTTCGGTTTTGAAGGTACCATTGTCCGTCCTGGTGTTTCCCAGGGCTCAGGAACTCTGCCTTATGTAAGAGCATCTCAGAGCAGAGCTTCACATGGCCTTTTTGGTTTCCATCACTCTTGTAAAACTTTTATTACCACACTGAAGGTTTTACAAACCACTAACTCTTAGTCTAATGACTGTGCCTCATTTATAAACATTTACAAGCCCCCAGAAAGCACACATGCTGTACCATCTTTGGTTCTGGAGAGTCTCTCTGGAGGCCTGTGTAGCTGCTGCTGGGTGCCCTCATTTGGTGCTGCACCAAGAGAGCATGTAATAAAACAGAGGCCCCGAGAGCGCTCATAAATGTATATGGAATCGTATTTAACAGCTGGATTAAGTCACTTCACATTTAAATACTGTCTCTAGGCAAACCATGTGCCTTTGTATGTATCTGTGTATGTTGTGGTTTTTATTTGACTGGCAATAGAGCACAGATACAGAAATATTGGATTATGAAGCAAGGAAGTCAACTAGTAATCTTGACATTTTTAACACAAATTACAAACGATGTACAAGCTTTTGTTGATGACCAACTGCCCTCAGGAGCACTGTGCTTCCTGTAAGTGCTGGTCTGTGCTTGGCCTATAGAGCACATTCATATTGTAGTTTGCAGCCAGTGTAAGATCACCAGTGCTGAGAGGACTGTGATGTGTAGTGATTATCTGTGCACTTGCTCCCATCAGTTTGGATCTGTAACATTTAATGGAGTGCTTTCAGCAGATGATGTCACTGTAGCATGGAACTGTTTTCCAGAAAACAACTGTAAAACTCCCTTGCTTCTCTTACCACAGGTATCTTACACGGAGCTGGACTTTCTCAGCTTCCCAAACAGCGCTATCAGCCAAGTGATCAACATGCTGACCAGGCTCCAAACAGCCACGTCAAATATGTCTGGTAAATTATTGAGACACTTGCTCTACTTTACATCCACATTGTACATTAATAGCTCCTGGCTCACTGTCAAGCTGATGGCCACGCTTCCAGGGAGCCCAGGAGGACCAGCCATTCTCTTTACTGGTGTCTTAGACAGTACAGGGCTTCCTAGAGGGCCAGGGACAGGCTGCACAACTCTTTCCAGTGGTAGACACTCGGGGAGGTCACATATCAGCTGAAAAGCCTGGGACTGGGCGTCCAGGATTCCCTCTGGAACCAGCATTCTAATTGGGGTATCATTTCTAATGGGAAGAAAAGAAGCTAAATAGAGCTGGTGGAAGGAAATCTTTGTCCCTAGGAACTGTGTCTGTTGACCAGAATTAAACTGACATTTCAAACGAAAGTTAATCATCAGATGGGTGATGACCCTTTGCCCTTGGGAGCTTTGTGAACACTGAGCACCAACAAGTAACTATATTACCAAGCTGGCTCCTAGCCTCACTTTCCTCCTTTTAAACAGGAAAATGCTTCAGTCTCTGGGCAGACCAGAAGTCCACATGGCCCTGGACGTGGTTCTGGTGAGGGGCTCGGGCCAGTATCATGAAGGGTGCTTGCTGCTGACATCAGAGGTGCTCTTCGTGGTGAGTGTCAGTGAGGACACACAGCAGCAGGCCTTCCCTGTCACCGAGATCGACTGTGCACAGGACAGCGAGCAAAAGCACCTGCTCACCATGCAGCTCAAACAGCCAAGAGTGGCCTGTGATGTGGAGGTACGGTTCAGATGTGGGTTCCTGGAGCCAGCTGCCGGGGAAGTCGGGACACGGGCTGACAGTTAAGATTCACACGTGGCGGCTGGAGAGCAGAAGTCCATAGGATGGTGGTGGCAGCAGGGCTGGGGGGTGAGTGGGGTGCACTGTGGAAGGGTGTTGGAAAGACCCACCCAGGTGTGCATGCAAGCCCTGCACAAGAGCCCAGCAGGTGCTAGAGGGACTCCTGGCCTGGGCCAAGCCCTGTGAGTCACACAGACTGCTGGTGGCATGGGGCTGGGTGCTGGAGTGGACAGCACATGACAGTGGAGCGCCAGAATGAGTGAGCTGGTGCAGCAAGGGAGAGGAGCACTAGGACTTCTGACGACTGCTCTACAAGGAGGTCCCTGGTCTGTGTGGACCCAGGAGTGGCTGCAGCGGGCCTGTGGTTTACGAAAGGAATGCTAGGGTGAGGGGTGTCACAAGGGAACCAAGGCGAGGGCAAGCTGGACAAACTGCTTCCCTCTGTTCCCTCCCCCAAGCCCAACCCAGGAGATTTCAGGGGTCAAAATGTGAATACATCTCTCTCCTACACCGTGATGTCTTCTGCAGCAGTGCTCTATTCCCATAGAACAATTTCCAGTCCCATAAGTAACACAAGCACCTCCTAGAGACAGTGCTTGGGCCCTTGGCCAGTTTCCTGGCTCCATAGCTCCCAAGATGTACTGGCTGCCAGCGCTCCTCTTGGCAAACATGAGATGATATGGAATAGATGCTCTCAAGTAGGGTACACACAGAAGCCACTGGAAAATGGCTTCACCTCCACCTCCCAGGTGGTAGCCCGATCCATAGGACCCTAACTGCTAACCCAAGGAACAGACATCTTGCTCCTTGTGGCGGGATGGGGATGACCAGTGGCAAGCTGGAGCCTACTGGTCTTAACTGGGGACTAAGTGGCCCCCACAAAGGACAGCAAACCCTGATTCCTTCCTTATTTTCTTCCTGATATGGGAGCCTGTGTCTCTCTCAAACCACTGTTTGGGTAAAATTATCTGAGATGGAAAGTAGCCAACCACAACAACTCTGATTTCTCTAGTTTTCTTGGATCATAATCAGTCAAGGCTTTAGGCTGGGGCTTGGCCCGGAACTGCACTGCTGCTTTGAGTTGATGACTTTTTGGGACTAAACAGAGGTCAGACATCCAGGCTAACTTTATTACATCTGCAAAAACCCTTCTGATCCAGTTGACAATAATGTAGCAATGATCTGGCTACAGGATTTGACAGGGGATAGTAGCATTATTTTTATGTCCTTAGTCCTTAATGAGAGACCTTTAAAACCCTAAGAATATCTGTGAACGTTGTTTTTCCTTAGTAGGCTTGGGAAATACAGTAGATCTTAAATTATTGACAGTGAAGATACATTTCTTGCCATTAAAACTGCCTTTTATCGTGGTCCTTCTCTTTTGCACTTGTTTGAGGAGGGTACTGAGATGAAGTGTCTTAACGAGAAGAGACCTATTTCTCCAGGGATGACTGAGATCACCAGAGGAAACACCCGTTCAGGTTGCCAAGGTTGAGACCATGGAATCAAGTTTGAGGGGGAAGCACTGAAGCTCTAGATAGCACACTCAGTAAAGGTTTTCCTTTGATGTCCAGGAGTAAAAGAGGGTTGGGGCTAAGGAGTGGCTAGAACAGGCAGGAAGACTGCTGGGAGTAGGAGCACTGCAAGACACCCACTGAAGACAAGCAGCGAGCTCACACACAGCACCAGCCGTGCAGAGGGTGGACAGTCCAGTGTGCCTCCATGCTCTGCTTTCTTTCTCATCTCTCCCCTCATTTCATAAAAACTGCCACCTAATCCTAAATCCAGCACCCAAATCTCCCACTCACTCCAAAGAAAATTCAAGTCACAGAGCATCTGTGAGCTCTTCACGCTCTAATCCAGCGTCTTGTGTGTGGGGTGGAGCACCGCCTTGCTCTTGCCAGTGCTTCCCAACATAATCAAGACATAAAGCTGGCTAGGCCTACCTGCTGTCTCCCAGTGAAGAGCAAGAGAAGTATGTTATACTCTTTACATAAAATGGCTCTCCTGATTTATTGCTTTTGCCTGAGAGGCTAGGAAACAGCTCTTTTGAATCTTGGAAGGAACTAATTTGTAGATGACATCATTCAGCATATTCAAATATGGCAGGATTCAGATTTTTTTAAATCAGCATTTGCTTTTCTTGGTTAAATGCAACCATTTTTAGGGGTAATAATAATTGCTTAATATGCCTGGCACATTATTGAAATCCCTTATGAGAGACTCAAAATGAGTCAGAAGGTCAATTTATTCCTTGGCCAGGTTCCTTTCACAACACGGGTTTTCCTGTGCTGCTGTTCAGGAGGAGCAATTAAGACTTTGTGTATTCAGAACTTTCCAGCTGAATTCCAGCCCCATCAAGTGATATCAGAGCTCTGGCTTCTGCCTGGTGGTGCAAAACTTTCATCTGTCTAAATCTCTGGGGACCTTCATTTTCTTTCTCAAGCTTAAAATTTTGCGATCTGAGCTCTGACAGATGCGGACTGAACTCTCTGGCAGGCCCCTTTACTATCTTGGCTATCTCACTGGCTTTTGCGGCTTTGACACTTTGGACTGCAGTTTCTGGGGCCTATACAAAAATATAAAGAAATTCTTCATGTTGCCTCTATTTTGAGAACTAAGAAGCCCTTAGTAAAACATCTGTATTTCTTCCAGAGTGGTCTTGCCGACATTTGCTAAGTAAAAACCATAGGGCCAGGGATTTAGCTCAGTGGTGCCACCGCCTTCCTCACAAGCGCAAGGTCCGGAGTTCCATCTCAGGTACCAAAAAAAAAAAACCCCAAACAAAAAAAAACAAAAAATACCTTGAGGTCAGTGGCTACTTGCTTCTTACAGATGGGTGGCTTGCACTGCAGACTTCCCACTCTGCCTGATCTACACACTAGACAGCACTTTAAGAACCTGGGTTGTATCTCTGTTCACCTACTCATTTCTACTGAAGATGAGCCAGACGTTTATGAACCATAAATGTACTTTGCATCCTCCCTTTCTTCCATAAAAATTTCCTCGTCCTCTGCCCAGTTCTTCTATTTTCTCTGGCTTTAAATTCTAGCATTTATAAAAACAGAAAATGTTACAGTTCAAAAGGCATTTATTTTTTTAATCTCTGCCTAGAGCCACTGGTTTGAATGAGATACTCTTCTCCACTTTTTTCTGCCAAACTGAGGAGGTTTTATCTGAAGGTTTGCAAAGCCTAACAGAGCTTTTATTTCAGAATGCGAGTGGTAAGGGCGATTTGATTTACAGGAAAGACATTTTTATTCTTTATTGGAGGGCTGCTTGGTAAAGAGCAATGACAGATGTTTTAATAATTAATAAGTACAATGTTATCAAATCGTCAACTTCAAACAGAGGAGTTTTAGTCAACACCAGATGCTTATACACAAGAGGCTGTCTCACACAGAGCTTTGGTTCTACTGCTAAAATCAGTGTTATTATTGCCCATCTCAGAGGAAATACAGAAGGAAACACTGCTTTGGACAAATGGCTTTATTAGATGACCTAAGAGCATAGTGTTCAAATTATCAAGAAAAAAATAAAAGGAATAATTTTACTGTGTAAGTCTAAGGGTTTGGCAGCTAATGAGTGTTTTTGGATTGCAGGTGGATGGAGTCCGAGAGAGACTGTCAGAGCAACAGTACAACAGACTTGTAGACTACATCGCAAAGACATCTTATCACCTGGCCCCCACCTGCTCTTCCATGCAAACACCGTGCCCAGTGGTGGCTGTGGACCCTCCCCCCTCCACTGTTAAAGCATACCGTTATTTGGTTGACCCACACTTTGCTCAGGTCTTCATTAGTAAATTTACCATGGTAAAGAATAAAGCCCTGAGAAAAGGGTTCTCCTGAGTTCCCAATAAGGTGTGGATTTCTAATTATGCAATTTTTTGAAACAAGAAATGTAGTTACTCTACAGCCAACATGGACACAAAGCCAACACTTTAATTATAATTTCCTAGCCACTTAAAAACTTATTCGATTTTTCACCAGGGGTGTAGTTAAGCAGCATAGTGCCTGCCTGGTAAGCACAAGGCCTTACCATTACTGGTATCCCCCACACACAAATTATATTTTTGCCTTTTCCCCAAAACAAGTTAGATAAAGATGGAATGATCAAAAAACTTGTTCCTTTCCCATTGGGAAACAATGAACAGAATCCTGTATGTGCTGTTTTTACCAAACGTGGAAAATGTGTTCCTTTTTGATCTATAATGCCACTTAACTAAAATTTCCATGATACTATGGAGGGTAATGATCTACAGCAAAGTGATTAGTCCTTAGAATGCAGAGTTTCATTTTAAGTTGCATCCATTTAGGGGAGACTGAGACAACACCTCTGCCTAATACATGTTTGTCTGCAAAGGTTTGGATTCTTTAAAATACCTAGGGGGCCCAGGGATTTAACTCAGTGGTTCCTTGGCCTGCCTCACTAGCGAAAGGTCCCAAGTTCGATTTCCAGTACCAAAAAAGAAATACCTAGGATTCTGTGGCTTAACTTGTTAAATGTGTCACTTAGCTGCTATGCTGTTTAGCAAAAGCTGCTATGTATATTCCCTCCAAAGTCTGTACTGTAATGAACTTTTCAAACACTCTGTTTGTTTAGGTGCATTTTGGAAAAAGTGTTTTTCTAGTTTGTGTTTTCTCAAGTGAGATCTTCCGATATATGCCAACGAAAACAGACCCAAAGTGCTCAGGTGAGTTTATTCCTAGGAACTCCCTGGTACTAAGAGAGGGGAGTCAAGATCCCCTATATTAATGCTACTAATGACATCAGTCCAGATAGTTTTCTCTGCTGAACTGAAGCACGAAGATATTCCCAGTGTCTTCACATTATTTTACATCCAAGAATGGGTCTGACTTGAATCTTAGGTCAACACATACCTTAAAATGTTCAGTAAATATCTCACGGTCCAATTAGCTGAAGTGTATCTACTAATTATGTACTTTCAAACTTGGGCCTGTAACTTGTTAGTTAAAACTGTGAAATGCTAAGAGTTCAATTTCAAAGGGCCACTGGTCTGTAAGTCCCACAGGATGGTGAGCAGTCAGCACTGTATCACTGTTCCTGGAAAGGAAGACTGCTGAAGGAAAATCCAGGCTGAACAGGAAGAAAGGCTTCTGTTTATGTAATACTCAAAAAGTGAGTTTGTCAACTTCAAGAGTATTTTTAAGAATGTAAATACATACTAATTCTTGTATGTTTTATGGTAATTTTACATACTGTTATAAAAAATTGTTTAAAAGAAAACTGGTTTTTTTTTGGCGGGGGCACAGTGCTAGAGCAAACGTAGGGCCTCCCACACACTAGGCAAGTGTTCTACCACCAAGCTGCATGCTCAGCACAAAAGGTTTTCATGAATTACTGACAACATATAAATGTATATTATTACAAGTTTTTACCCAACTCACATCATGGGACTCAAGACTCCTGCACAAGTTAAAGAGGGTAAGAAATAGTTATCTGAAAGTAACAATCCATGATTAAACTAGCTCTGGATAAAGGGGAGAATTCTGAAGGGGGTTAATGGCAATGTGTCTTTTACTGTAACAAATGTTGTATTCATGGCTAGGCATGGTGGTGCACACCTGTTAATCCCAGCACTCAGGAGGATGGCCAGGTATTCAAGGCCAGCCTGAACTACCTACATCTAGATCCTGTCTTTAAAAACAAACGAAAAGGCTGGGGATTTTTGGCTCAGCGGTTCTGCTGCCTGCCTCACAAGCACAAGGGCCCCAGTTCAATCCCCGGTACCCCCCCCAAATCACTGTATATTTTGATCACTCCCTAAATTCTTTAAATCAATTTTATGAATTTCATTTTCATTTGCATCTATCTAGTAGTACTAGGGTAGTAGTAATGCCAAATAATGGCAAAGAAGCCCAAGTACCGAAGTTATTGGAAAGACTGTCGCTGTCCCTCCTCACAGACTCCTGGAGATCCTTTCAAAGCCATGACTTTTAGGAATACCTCAGTGATCAACACAATTAAAGATGTATTAAGAAATGAAATACTTTGTTACCACCATAAAGTTCACAAAGTTAAAATCTCCACTTTTAAGTGATCTAAATTACCAATAAGAATAACTGAGCAAAGATTACTGTCCACACTGGTATTTATTTGTCATGAGAACTATTATTAGTCCACATATTGAGGTTTTACAGTTCAGGAACACCGATCAGTGACAAGTGTCTATGGAACTCAATCCAAACAAACCTATGGAAAGAAAGACAATGACTAAGTTAATGATAAACATTCTCAGAAATGACCATCCCTGAGATCAACTGATGCCTATTTTTATTAGTGGACCCCATGTTCTGATCACTCCAGTCCCCAGACGTCCAGTTCAGGTTACCTGGGCACTAGGTTCACTTTCCTTCTCACTGGAGTCTTCCATTTTGAGCATACCACACCTTACTCTTTTTTGTTTTTTGCTTGAGCAATTTCAGGTCTTCTCTTTCTCAAGTCTAACTCACCCCATTCTCTCATATCTACACTATGTCCTTAACTTCAAAGTTAAAACAGCAATGTTATGCATTATAAATACAACTATAAATCATCTTTGTGTAATCAACAGGTCATTCTGTATAAGATATTCTTAATTTCCTATAATTTCTTTTTCATTTTATAAATATCATTGATAATGGACATAATAGCCTATGGTACGAAAAGCAATTTCTAAGCATCGAAAAATAAACGTTCTATTTCTCTATTAGAATTATGAAATACTGTGAATACTTGAGCACACACATCTATCTAGCTTTCACATTATTTCCTGAAGACTGATGAAACAGAATGCTGTGGAATCAAAACAAATCTCTTAGTCAAAAGTGCCTCATAATCTAAATTACCTTTGAGTCATTTAGAAAACTCATCTAAGTCCAATACAACAGGCTTCTTTCCTGCTCCAGATCTTGGAAGATATATACACATAGGACTGGGGATTTAGCTCAGTGGTTCTGGTGCCTGCCTTGCAAGCGCAAGAGCTGTAATTCAATCCCCAGTACCAAAGTAATAATAATAATAATAATAAATACACATATACAGTTTTTTTCAGTGAACCCAACATGCTCATTTGGGAACAATATGCCTGAACAGCAGGTTCACATTCTCCATGTCAGATCAAAATGGCAGACAGTCTTTAACCATTTAGTATCCCCTCTGCTTTTTTGTTGAGCTTAAATTAAACACATGCCTAACACTCCAAAATATGAACAGTCTCTTTATGTACTTGATATGTCATTTCAATCAATCCAGTAGATGATCTTCATTACTTTACACCAGTCCTTTTCCAGCTGCAGAATTTTAATTCATACATACTGTCCCTGACACGAGGACCTCATGGATAACCGTCTAAGCCAGAATGTATGAAAAAAGCCAGGAAGTCAATCACATCTAAGAAACCATAAAAGGAATCTTAAAAACTGTTCTGGTTTTTTTAAAGTCACTTCTAGGGAAATGATTTTTTCATACTGCCAATCTAGCAATTAATAGCAAAACTGAAATGATTTTTATCATAAACAGTAACTTTAAAAAATGTAAGCCAAAAAAAAAAAAAGCAACAGATAGTGGACTACAGCTTCAGACATTTTTATCATAAACAGTAACTTTAAAAAATGTAAGCCAAAAAAAAAAAAAGCAACAGATAGTGGACTACAAAGCTTCAGACCAATCCCCCACATTCCTCCTGGAAACACGAATAAACAATATATGGACTAAAGTAGTTTTCTGAGAATTGTAGCAACCAATTAAACATTTAGCCAAGAAAACTACTGGAAAAGTAAATTTTAGGGCAGTGGTGGCAAACCTTCAACACACATGCCACAATGGTCTATCTGTATCACTGAAAGCTTAAAAAGTTCACCATCACTGTTTCAGGGCATTTTTGCTCCTACCTGCCCTACCCCACTGAAGGGCAGAGCAATCAAGAGGAAACGAGCCAATTCCGGGCCCCTCCCTCAGGACAGAAGAGTAGAGCTGGCTAACCACACACTGGCTGGCCTGCAAGCTGCTCTAGGGACTGGTTTCTGTCTTGTCTGACTTGGAGCACTGATGGGAGCAGCGGACAGTTTGAATACCAGGCTGCAAACAGAAGAAAGCAAAGGGTGATGCCACAGCATGAGAGCTGAGGGTAGAGGCACGGCACACAACACAACTACAGAACTACAGGCACCTGGAGACAAGAGGTTGCGGGCAAAAGAATACCGTGGAGCCACTGACTCCAAGAAGCAGCAGGAAGAAACTCTTAGGCAAGTTGAGAAGGCTTAAGAGCAACTGTGTGTATATACAGGGAAAGTGGAACAAAAGCATATGTATAGGCCCGGGGAAGACACATGCTTACAAAGAAGGGAACCCTGAGCCTTTGTGCCAGGCTAATTAATGAAGGTCTTCCCATGTATACAGTTGAGTCTACATAGAGAGAGGTAGTTATTTTTCCAAAGGCCACATTAACAGACTATTATAAGACACGTAAACAAGGAAACAAAGCTTTCTTTTCAAGAAACAAAAATCAAAATGTTAAAAATCAAAACAAACAAACAAAAAAAAACACTGGCCTCTGATTTGACAAAAACTTAAACCTATCCACAGTCATGGTGGCAATGTATGTAATCCCAGTCCCAGCACTCAGGAGGCTGAGGCGGGAGGACTGCTCCAAGTTCAAGGCCAGCCTGAGCTACATACTTCAAGGCCAGCCTGAACAAAACAGCAAGACCCTGTCTCCAAAAGAAAAACTTAAAGCTCTCCTAAATATGCTCAATGAGCTAAAAGAGGACAACTGAGCAAAATCGGAAAAAAATGAAAACAGATAAATCATTTTTCAATTAATTTTACTGGAGAGAAATTATTAAAAAGAATCAAGCAATTCCAAAACTGAAAAATACAATAATATAAACTGAAAAAATACTTGCTTGGGGATGTGCCTCAAAAGCAGGCTCAAATTGGCAAAAGAAACCAATCAACAAACCTAAAGATGGGTCACTGGCACATATGGGTCTACAATGTGAACAGAGCCTAAAGGACTTGTAAAACACCATCAAGTAGGCCAATATACATGATACAGAAATCTCAGAAAAGGACAGAAAGCTTACTTGAAGAAATAATGACTGATAACATCACAAATCTGGAGAAATAAAACACAAATAGAGCCAGCTCAACAAACTCCAAGTAGGCAAATGAAATCTTGAAAGCAGCAAGAAAAATGACTCAGAGTGAAGGAGGTAGCCTCTGTAAAGATCTTTCAGGCCAGAAGATTGTAGGATGATATATTTAAAGTGGTGGGAAAAAATACCTGTTAACTAGAAAATACTATATACGAGGGCCAGGGATTTAGCTCAGTGGCACGGTGCCTGCCCCACAAGCACAAGGTCCTGAGTTAAATCTCCAGTACCCCCCACTCAAAAAAAAACTATATATGGTAAAGCTACCCTTCAAAAATAAGAGCTAGGTGTGGTGGCACATGCCTGTAATCCCAGAGACTGAGGCAAAGAGGATCAATACCAGGCCAGCCTGGGCTACAAGTGAATAAGGGCCAGGGATTTAGCTCAGTGGTGCCGTCGCCTGCCCTGCAATCGCAAGGTCCTGAGTTCGAGCACTGGTACCAAAATAAATAAAGACACTCTAAGTTGAGAGAGAGAGAGAGAGAGAGAAAGAGACATCATTACTAGCACACCTATGTTTTACTGTTTCTCTTGTGAGGCTTGTTTAGATGTCACCCCAAAGCCTTATGTAGTCATAGGTAAGGCTCTTTAGTCTGGCTGGATCCAGAGTGGGTGATGCTGGAACTAATTCATGATGCAATGCTAGGCATAAGGGCACTAGGATTAAGGGTGTGATGCTACCCGCCCTAAGTAGCCTGGATACAATAAAAAGGGGCAGAAAGATGCTGTTTAGGTCCCTCGTTCTGCTACCTTCTGCCTGACTGCCATGACACCCTGTCTTGGAGCCAGCCCATTTAACTTTGGATCAGGTATTTGTCTCAGCAACAAGAGAAAAGTAACTAAGGCAGAGAAGAAGGGGAAAAGGAAGGAAGTGAAAAAGAAAAAACAGAATGGAAAGGGCGGGGATTTAGCTCAGTGCCACGACCACTCCAGTAGAGTCTGCGTGACAATGCCGGTCACCTGGCAGAAACCAGACCCGAGGTATCGTCCCCACGGGGTTAAGCCTCCTGGAGGTCCTTGGCACACACCGCATGCGAAGTCAGCCGTGAAGAGAATAGCTGGCCTCTCTGCCTGCAGTTTGGGGACATTGGGTTCATTTGTAATTCTGTTCTATTTTGTCTTTATTACTATTTGTTCATTATCTGTAGAATTGTATTCTGGACCCAGGAAAGGTTAGGAACAATTAGATGTTCCTAGAGATGGGGAGGTGTTGGGGCACAAGAGGACGGGCGGCCAAAGTGCTGACCCTGAGCCCCGGACTGTGAAGTCCTGAAGGTGATCCTGAAGGTGACATGCTGAAGCCAGTCCTTTGTTTTACAAACTTCCCCTTCTGACTGCGTATAGGTGTGGTCTTACCTTGACTTAATGGTCTTAGCTTTTGTGATGGTATATAGGTGTGGTCTTACCTTGACCTTGTGGTCT